ACGACGCTCGGCAAAATACGAATGTGCATTAATTTACATGTGAAATTACACATGAACTTCAGGGGGAATCTAGTACACTCCGGTACAGAGATGCTTCGTGCAATCTGACAGGGCACAGACTGTACAACATACTGCGCTCAGCAGTGCAAGGATGGGGCTGATGTGCACAAAAATCCAGGTCTAGAGAGAAATGTGGGCGCCCAGCTTTCTCATGAAGGTATCATCAGCTCAGCCTCTCTGTGTGCTGCCTGGGTTGCCACCGAAGTCCATGGGAGCGAGCCCACTGCATGCCCCTGTGGCTCTGGGAACTCGCGTTCATACTTCTCATACCACAGCAGAGCCCTGATCACAGCAGAACAGAAAGGATCAGGGTCAACAAGCTGTTCCCATGCGACAGACAGCAAGCAAACACACCATTTAACTCCTTACATTCATCAAACTGTGTCCGACAGGAGGAGGGGGGTGAATTGTGACACTGCTGCAATGAAAACAAAAAACCTAACAGGGACCAGCTCTTTGCGATGCGGATCAGCTCATGCTTTAACGCCAGATTTCTGATCCACTTCTGGCTGCTACACTGATGTGCTAGTAAAACATGAGCTATTTTCTTAAGAAACTTTTCAGTACTGGAGTACATCCCATTCTCCCTAATGTTCATGTGCAATTTCCTTCCAAGGAGGCAAGTGCAAATTATTGCACATTTATGTACTTTCTGAGCATCACACACACCCCGCACAGACAGTCCTGCCATCTGAAATCCTACTCAAGACAACAGATATCGAATGATTTTGATTTTTCTCAGCTAGGAGCTGCTAAATCCTGTTCAATCTGCTTCTTAATTAAGACTTGGTGATTCTTTTATTCTAATTGCCCTATAATTGCTAAAGCAATTAGTTTGATGTCAATTTCAATTCGGCTGCATTCAGCGCAGTTGACGACGAGACACTACAGCAGGGCTGGAGGTGGGCACGCGCCATCTGTGCCAATGGTGCACCCGCTTTATGTTCCGAGGGCAACTTTTTTTATGAACACGGGGAAGCTCCGTGGGCTTTCTGCCGGGGCCGAACGACTTCCTGCGACGCTCCTTCTGAGCACGCGGCACTAAAATGGGCTCAGCAGCAGAGCTGCCGGTGCTGGAAATGGAGGAAGGCATGATTTCCAGACAGCTGAGAAAGATGTGAAGTCGTGGGGACGTGGAGAAGTTGAGGATCGCCAACAGAGCGGAGAAGGTGCCAGAAGACACAAAGAAGCATTCGTTTCTGAGAGGAAAGCGGCAGCACGAGGTAGCGCACAAGGGGCTGACACCAGCGCAGAGACATCCCCAGAGCAGCACCTGCGCTCCGGAACAGGGACCATGGGGCACTGCCCAGCTGACCCTGCGCAAGAAGTGCCGACAGATCCCAGTGATGGCCCTGCTCCCAACGGGAACGCCGTTCGTGTCGCACGTGCATGAGCACGCAGCAGGGACGGACCCAGGGATCAATTCAGCGCCGGGTTTTGCATGCTGCCCCATCCCTGTTGTGGGAAGCTCTGGCCCCATCCCGGCCACAGAGAGTCGTGATGGGGCGGCCAACAGCCACACGGCTGCCTCCAAAAACACTAAAAAGGTGCGAGTCCTGCTGATACAGGAGCTCTCTCCGGCTGGAAACCAGCCCAGGCTGCAGGGGTCGGGGCCGACCATGCGGCACCGTCCCGCACACAAAAAGCTGCACTGGACGGGGCGGCCGGGGGAAGCGGAGGAGCGGGCACTCGGGACCTGCCGCAGCGTGCGAGAGCGGGATCAGCCCCCGGACGGGCCGCACGGGAAACAAGGACAGTGCTCCGCCGGCAAGATACTATTTCTGTTTGGCTTTTTGGCTTTCAGGCTCAGGAACTGTGGGATGTTATGGAAATCTGCAAAAGTGCTAATCAGACAGCAAGTTTCAAAGGGGGAAAGAAGGGCTGGCAGGCAGGGACTAGAGATAAAATGGCAAACTTGGAAACCTCAAGCATTGTTCGGAAAACTCATCTGGAAACAAATCAAAACTGTCTTTGGACTTGGCTAGTTGGGAGAAAGGAAGTTTAACTAGAAGAGATCAGTGCTGATTCAGGACAAAAAAGTACTTAAAAAAAAACACAGTCTGGGGCCTTTTTTCCTCCTATTGTGAATGTATTTTAATGAGACTTCGTTTTCATTTTTGACTGAACTGTTACGGGCTCTTAAAGCTACCCAGGGCACTGAAATAACGCTGCAGTAATGGAAAGCACAGCTCAGGCTGGCATCACTCGAACTGTTCACGCACGACGAGCGTGGGAGGGCTGGGTTTTATACGCTTGGGAAAAAAAAGGGTTTTGAGCACAGACTGGATTCACGTGTTGCTGCCCTATTACCAAGGCTGACAAGTTGTTAGAGATGTCCTCCCAGGAACACGTTACAGCCATTTCCAAATGTCTTGGTGAGGCTGCGGTGGGAAAAGCACAGAAAACAGCTGCTTATCCCAAGTGCCTGCTAATTTTGGGATGATTATCTATTTGCATTTTGTGAAGAACCACACCTCAGCTCCAGCCCATGTGCAAAACTTTGGGAAGCTTGGAGCCAGACCTAAAAGCTGAATTCCAGGACCTTAATTTTCCCTTAACTCCCGGTACCCCAATCCTGTTAGGAGCCCAGCACAATGGTACCGTGGTAGCTCAGGGACAAGTTGGGGTTTTTTTCAGCATTTTCCACCAAAGCTGTAGCAGAAAATAGAGGCATGGACCATTTTATCTATGAATCTCCCCCAGTTCTGCAGAAACAGAGGTCTGCTTGTGCAAATGCTGCAAGTTTCCTCTGAATCCAGTCCCAAGCAGCAAGCCTCCTGCTAGTTCTTCATCATATATATATCCCCTGCACGCACCGAGCCAAACCTCCCCTGCCAGCCTGGTGACTCCATTGCCTTCAGGTGCCCTCCACATGTTGAGACCACGAGCGACTGTGGCTGCAACTCCTTCCCAGTTGAAGACAGCTCCTTCAAATCATTTTCCCCCAAAACACAAATGGACGGACTGTTAGGCAGAGCATTAATACGAAACAAATGTTCCGAGCGTGTAGCGTTGACTTACAAGGGAAAATACAAGCACTTGGAATTTTTCCACCACACAACGGCAGGGACCTTTGCAGCAGCTGTTTCGCATAGACGTTGTGATTAATGGGGATAATTCAGGAATGAAAACCAGACCCATCGTCACACATCTGACAGACCAGTGCTACAGGCAGGCGGGCAGCCTTTCTTTTTAACCAAGAAACGCCTCTCTGAAGGCAACTGAGCTTGATCCAGAGGAACACAAGGCACACGGGAGGTGTTTGACTACGGCTAGTATTTAAATCACAGCCCTGAGCTGAGACCAGCCCGTGTGCACGGAGGTGCCATCTGTCTGACTGCAGCAGCCCCATGCTCGTTTGCACTGCGGGGAAGGTCCCAGCTCCGCCGATCCGGACCGAGACTCCCCGTCCCTTTGCACAGGTGAGCTCGTGCCCACCTGGGACAGTCGAAGGGCCTCTCTGGACATTTCTGTCTCATCAATTCTCTTTCTCCTCCGTATTTCAGCAGGCAGCACGGTTTCTCCTCTGATCAGCTCCCTCACTGTGGAGCACATCGGATGTGAAAGGCTCTTGGAAATCAATGCTTTACTGCGCCCTAGTACAGAAACCGTTTGCTTTTCAGAAATGGGCAATAGGCTGCGGTGCAAAGTGCCACGACGGTCTTCCCTGCCACGGCCTCAGGCTGAGCCACGAAGCCGGGGGGGACTGCAAACCCAGTGTGCAACATTTGCCCCTGCTGAGGACCCCGCCGCAGGCGGATGGAAATGCAGGTTCAGCTCGTGACCCGTCAGCTCTGCAAAGGGCCACCACCGCCCCACAGACCCGCTCCCGTCCATATCCTGTGCCTCCTCCTCTCTCCACAGGCATGCCAGGGCTGCACAGCACCAGAAAGCCAGCTCATGGCTTGCACCAGCACCGCCCTGGCTGCAGGGATGGCCACCGGCCCCGCCACGGACCCCGGACAAGCCTGCGGTGACGGGCACCTCCCCGCCAGCCGCGCCAGGGACGGGTGCCGCGCCAGCACGCGGGAGCTCCTCGCCACTCATTAGCTAAGTAACGTGCCCGAGTCTGCAGGCCTGCGTGATAAGACTCGACTTTCTTTCCTCTTTTTTTTTTCCCCTGAGAAAGCCTTCTTGCACAATGTCCATTTTTAGCACAAACTGGAGTTGGATCAGATGCCTCACATGTGGTCTCCACTCTCCAAAAGGAGAGATCAGCACTTTTTTCCTCCAATGGTTTAACTACAGGCACAAAAAACTGAAGATTAAAAAATATTCACTAATTCACTCTTTTCTGCTCTTACAGGCTGGATAGTCGTGCTGCATCCGCACAGTCATCCTCGTTCGCTCCTGTAACTTTTCTTTCATTAAACTGGCTAATTATGTGAGCTAAAATGAAAGATTATGAACTACAAAACCACAGGCTTTAGGACAAAAAGTGATCATCAGCTAGGATCAGAAGACATTACGATATGTACGAGGACAATACAGTATTGCTTCTGCGGCTATAGCAAACACTTTGGTAAAAGAGATTTTTCAAAGGCTTTTTCAAGGCTCTCCCCTGTGGGTATAATGGGGTGTTCTCCAATTAACTGCCGTGGAATCAATTAAGTTATTGCTCAATTCTTCTGGGAAATTCCAACCAGAACTGGCAAATGTTTGAGATAAAGCACTGAGCAGATGGACTGCTGATGTGCTCCGAGATGCCAAATATATTCTTTTTCGTTACTGTCGGAAGACAGTCGGGCTTCTGGGACAGACACCCCAACTCTCCTGCACAGATCTGTCTGGCCAGCGTGGAACCAGGAGGACGTCTCCCGCGCCAGGAGGGCACCAACGGGCACGGACACAGAGCAGCCCCCTGCCCCGCGCCACTGTCCCTCCGC